TCTTTTATGATTTCAGACAAATTCTATGATTGTCTTTTCTAGATCTGTGAAGAGTATTTCTGGTATTTTGGTTGGAATTGCATTAAACATGTAGATTAATTTGGGTAGAATTGCCATTTTTATTATGCTAATTCTTCCAGTCCAGGAACATGGGATGTCCTTCCACTTTTTTATGTCACTTTCAATATCTTTTTAAAGATTTTCATAGTTTTCTTTATAAAGGTCTTTGACTTTCTTAGTTAGGTTTATACCTAGGTATCTTAGGCATCTTGTGGGTATGGTAAAAGGGATTCCTTTCTTCAGCTCTACTTCATTCAACTTGTTCATATATAGACATGCTATAGATTTTTGGATGTTGATTTTGTATCCTGCCACTTTACTGTATTCACTTATTACTTCAAGAAGTTTTTTCATGGAGACCTTTGGGTCTTCTAAGTATACCATCATGTCATCTGCAAATAAAGATATTTTCAACTCTTCTTTGCCTATTCGAATGCCTTTTATATTGTTCTCTTCTCTGATTGCATTCATCTCAGGATCTTGGGCATGCATGCACACATACCTGGTGTGAGTTTAAGCCACCAGATCTGGGACTCAAACCACAGTCAACTACATGGGAGTCCAACGATGCAGCCATTATACCATCTGCTGGTACCCACGTCCTGTTTTTTATTTACGTGTTTATTTTATTTTTATTTTTCTTTTTAAACAGATTGGCACCTTCACCTTTGTGGGGCAGTTCTGGAGGTATGTATGTATGTATGTATGTATTTACTTGGAGAGATTTTTTTCCTATAGAGCATGTGTGCTCGCCAAAAAAACAGAGATAGAGAGACAGAAAGTGAGAAATCACCCTCCAGAGGGGAGGACCACACCACAATCCCTTCTCCTCCATTCTCCTTTTGGAATCTTGGGCACACATGCACACGCGCCTGGCGTGAGTTTAAGCCACTAGGTCTAGGACTTGAAAGGCGGTCGACTACATGGAAATCCAGTGACATAGCCATTACGCCAACTGTTGGCCCCACGTCCTGTTTTTTTTTTTTTTTTTTTTTAAATTTGCTACAGGGAAAGTGCACTTGCCTGAGAAAGACAGAGAGAGGAAAAGTGAGAAAACACCCTCCAGGGGGAATGGCCACACCACAGTTCCTTCTGCTCCACTCTCCTCTTCAGATTTTTGGGCTTGCACACATATGTGCCCAGAGTGTTTTTCAAGCCACTGGGTCCAGGACTCAAACGGTGTAGTCAGCCTACCTTCTGCCTTGTTGTTACATGCGGTCTGTAAATATTTTCAATGATTACGCTCTACTCCCCTCTTAAGCCACCCTGAAGGCTGAACAGTCACATTACCTATCCTGTCTCCTCTGTCAACAGTTCCTAGTATTTACCTTGCTCATTTAATCCTAGCAGGAGGCTGTTTCTGATGTGCTTGCATCTGTTAAGTAGCATTAATACCTCTAACCTGGGACCCAGTATATTCACATTAAAGGAAATAGAGATCTTTTTTTGGAAATAGAGTTCTTAATAAAAATAATAACCAATTTGTCTTAATCACCAAAAGTATTTTTCTCAGTTTTTTTGGCTTTCTCTTTCAATATTTTTTAAATATTTATTTAATTTTATTTATTATTAGTATTTTTTTATTTGACCAGAGGAAGACAGAGACAGAGAAGGAAAGTGAGAAACCAACCTGCCAGGTCTGAGACTTGAACCACAATCAACTATGTGGGATCCAGCGCCTCAATTACCATGCCCTTTGAATATTTTTCAAGAGTTTTACATTCCTGGGAGCCAGCAGTTAGCGTAATGGCTATGTCGCTGGACTCCCACGTAGTTGACCGCAGTTCGCGTCCCGGACCCAGTGGCTTAAAACTCACGCCGGGTGCGTGTGCGTGCGTGCCCAAGATCCCAGGAGGAGAATGGAGGAGAAGGGATTGTGGCGTGACCACCCCCCTGGGGGGTGATGTCTCGCTTTCTGTCTCTATGTCTCTGTCTGTCTGGCGAGTGCACGCGTCCTATAGCAAAAAAAAACCTCTTCAAAAAAAAAAAGTTTTACATTACTAATTAGTCTGATAAATTGTATGATATATCTGAAATACTACTCATCAATAAAAAGAAACAAACTGTTCACATATTTAGTAACAAGAGATGAATCGAAAAGTCATGCTGAGTAGACACTGCCAGATCCAAACAGTACAGAATGTACCGTGTCCATTATACACTATTTTAGAAAATGAAAACTAATCAATAATGACAAAAAGCTAACCGGCTATCTAAACTGAGAATGAAAGGAATCTTAAACAGCAAAAAGCCATGAGGAAACTTTTTGGAGTGATGAAAATCTTCTCTATCTTAATTGCTAAGAGTAGTTTCTTGAGTGTTTACATCTGTCAAAGCTTTCAATGTACACAGTTGATTGTATTTACTTGCCACAGGGCTTTTTTTTTTTTTTTCATTTTTATTTTAACTTTATTTTCCAATTTGACCAGAGAGAGAGAGAGGTAAAGTGAGAAAGGAAGCCACCAAGTCCAGGACTCGAACCATGGTTGGACATTTGGGAGTCCAACGCACTTAACTACCACGCCACCTGCTGGCCCTAGTTAATTGTATTTAAAGTATACTTCAATAAACTGAATTATCAACAAAAAAGCTTGCTATCTATCTATCTATCTAGACCAGAAAGGGACAGAGCGGGAGTCAGGGGGGTTTGAAAGCAAGTTGCCAGGTCCGGGACTCAAACCACAATCAGCCATGTGGGAGTCCAATGCCAATAACTACCATACCACCTGCTGAAATTCTAATGGGGTCAGCTGGTGGCATGGTGGTTGAGGGTGCTAGACTTCCACATGGCTGACCGAGGTTCGAGTCACAGATCTGGTGGCTTGCTTTCTCAAATCCCCACCCATCTTTTCTAGTCAAACCAATCAGTCAATCAATACATTAAATTAAATCAATAATTCTTTTAGAAAGATTTTAAACTGTATTTATTTATTTATTGCTATAGGGCATGTGCACTTGACAGAGAGAGACAGAAACAGAAAAATCATTTCCCAGGCGGGGGAAGCAAATAGTCACAACACAATCCCTTCTCTCCCATTTTCTTCTTTGGATTTTAGGCATACAGATACATATGCCTGGCTTATGCTTTTCAAGCTATAGGGTGTGGGACATGAACCATGGAATTGGCTATGTGGGATCCAGTCATTTTAATCACCACACCACCTGCTGGCCCTATGAAACTCAAATTTATTTTAATCTATCACATGTTTATTTTGATTTTTGGTAACGGCAAAAATCCATTCCTCCTAACCTAATTAGCTAACTTATTATCAGCACTGTTTCTTGAATGATTCATCCTTCAAGATGTTGTAAAACTCTACCTAATATCAAAGCTTTTTATCTATTAATAATTAAGAGCCTCATTCTGGTTGGTCTGTCCCCAATAAGGGTTTTCTGAACACCTTTAAAGGCAGTAGGCTCTATTTGGAAGAAAGATTAAATCAAAGAATTTGTTTTCTGAGCCATGTGACCAAACTACCTCACCCAATACCTGACCTGCCTCCCACAAAGGCTGGTTTCTAGGGGAAATCATAACTACCTCCTCCTTAAGGAGAAACAGAAGTGTTGCTAAAGAGTAGGGAACTTAAAGGGCGTCTCCAGGGGGTAGAACAATTATGCAGCTGGAGGTTAAGTGAGTGTGAGAGGGAGACTTCATGGGGCAAGTTAGTTATTTCTGTCTTTCTACGGCTCACTTATAATCCTTCAGTGCCAGAGGACATTCTTTCTAGTTCTTAAGTGGGCGAACCTCGGTGTCACTGAACTGGAGGCATCTGTGACGGATCAGCCTACTTTCTAGTCCTTTTGGGATTGAGAGAACTGGGCGCTGGGAGCTGCTGGCCCTGCTGACCAGCAGCGCTTTCGAGCTGAGGCTTTAATAGAACAGTGAGACTGAGGCTCACAAGAGCCCTTAGAGTGCCCAGCCTCTCCGTGACCTCCCTGACTGTCAGGCTTGATGGTCCTTAGTCCTGATGTCCTGCCAAATGGCAATCGAGAAGAGACAAGGAGTTAACTGGTTTTCCCCTCACGAGGTGTGAGTGTATTTCTTTTCTGTCATCATTGTTTTACACAGGTTCTCTGGTCTCAGCCTTTTGAACAACTGGGATTACAGGCTTGTGCCACCGCACCAAACTTTTTTAGGGTGGACCAGAAATTGAACCCAAGCTTCCTAGGTGGCCTTAGCCTCAGAAGCAGCAGAGCTGAACAGCACACAGCACTGTGGCTGGGCAATCCGACCATCAAGGCCATGAACTGGTAAAACACCTACCCCATCATAGAAGGAAACGGAATTGATGTGATCCTTAGAAATGATGATACTTCCATGATGACGGTGAGAAAACAGAAGGCCACTAGAGAAGAAATGCACACTCCCTGGAAAAAAAAAAAAAAGAGAGAGAGAGAGAGCTGATCAGAGCTAGAGACCTGGATATTGAGAACCAGATTCCAGTGGACTTCTTTCAGGTATGAGAGCACACCAGAGCAGTAACTGGGTAACAGTATCAATGGCACTTCAGTTAATGAGATTTATAAGTGAGTCTTGTCCTCTGGGGAAGCCAAAGTAGCTTCCCAGAGTCTCAGAGAGAAAGGAGGCACCTGACACACTATTTTCGTAAAATTTAGAAAAAACAAATGAATAAGCAATCAGCTGACAAGGAGGGGCAAAACTGACATTCCTTCATAGGTGTCTCCAGAAAAACAAACTTTGGGTATGTCTGCTCCATTACTGAGTTTATAGATTTTCCTTTCACCTGCATTGGCAGAAGCTGGTTCAGCCCCTAAAAGACCACTATCTCTAACATAGGGCCTAAGAAGGAGCACTAGGATCTCAGCTGAAGGGTTGGGGAAGAGAGCCTAGGGTCTCAGTGACCAACAAAGGAACATTTGAGTCAGGTAGCAAGTAGGTTCTAGAGCTACAGGGGGCCTCCTACTCTGCGTTTCACAAAAGCAAGATGAGTGGCAGACGGACCCTGAATGTGGTTCTCTCAGCACAAGGTTTCAGGTCTAAGGAGAGCTGCTGTTTCCTGGGCAGCCAAGGCCCTAAGTGCAGCTCAGTATCAGCCCAGGGAAGCAGACCACAGGAAAGATGGACAACCGAGATGACAAAAATTAAGCTGGGCCCTGGCTTGCTTCAGAGACCCAAAAGAAGCACCCAGAAAACCCACAGGACCTTAGGTGAAGTTACTAGTCCAAGCTGGATCCTTTCTGTTCCTGTACAGCTTTTCTTTCTATGTTTTCATATACAGAAAAGAGGTAAAGTTCTGGGAGCTCAAGGAACAGGCTTGCTAATACTGTTAGTACCTTAGTGTCAAGGCAAAGAACAAGAGTCAAAAAGGAGGGGTCTGGGACCAGCAGAAGGACTTCCACATAGTTGACTGTGGTTCGAGTCTCAGATCTGGCGACTTGAAACACACCAGATGCACATGTGTGTGCCCACAATCCCAAGAGAAGAGTGGAGAAGAAGGGATTGCGGTGTGGCCACCCCCCCGGGAGGTTATTTTTCACTTTCTGTCTCTCTGGTGAGTGCAAGGCCCTAGCAAAAATCTCTCTCTCAAAAAAAGAAAGGGTCTAAGTCCCTGAGCTGTAGCTCTAGAAAAGCAGCCTCAAAGCTCTGGAGGTTGTAACAACAAGAGCAGAGGCCTGGAGTCTGAGGGATGCCTGTGCATCCCAGGTGAGGAAACCAGAGACTGTAAGTTTTGAAGGCTTCCTGAGGGAGAGAGGGGCCCAGTGAGTGTGTGTTAATGCGGGTTAGGGAGGTGGAGGCAGTTTTTAGGTACAAAAGAAAAGACTAGAGCCTGACTCTCAAAAGAACTATATGTCCAGTCAGAGGAACAAGCTAACCTTCCCATTTCGGGCAGCAGCAGCCAGTGACCAGCGAGCTCAGCTCAAGGCATGTAGGTTCAAGTTCTGTAAGCCCCCCATCTTCCAATGAGTAAAGTCTGGCTTCTGCACACCACCTTGCTCTAGAGCCCTCTGGAGTCAAGGCCTCTCATGGCCCAGCCTCATCTTGTACCATCCCCAAGGGTCCTCACTGCTCGTACCCTCCACCCTGACATGACACTCATTCCCTTGGAGACACAGTCCCTCTTGTCCTTCCCTGTTCACATCTATTGCATACTCACTGCTACCACCCAATGCTCACTGCTGCTCAGAGCACTGGGCTCCCGGCAAGTAGCTTCTGTGCATACACACAGCCCTCCCTCTCTCCTGTGAGATGAAGGAATGGCCCACATGATACTCCGGTCTACTCCACCACCAGGCCAATGCTACGGCGGTAAAGCTGCACCTGGAACATCTTAACTTCAGAAACCTGTAGCCCCAGAACCCACTCTCGGCCTCCAGCATCCCATCATCCTTTGAGCTTTTCCACTCCATATCTCCATCCTCTGATTGTCACTGGGTATCCATAGCCTTTGGTCCCCCATTTCCTCCTCCTACTCAGAAATTTTGGACATTCCTCCCACCCTCACCAGGAGCAGATCCCCTGTGGGGATATCTTTAGTTTCTATTTTGTCAAGAGAAAAGGATGGGGACAGATTTTACTCAGTATTTACTAAGCACCATGCACTGTCACACACATTACGGTTTTCTATCTTCATAACGACTATAGGAGGTGGTATTTTTCTTATAGGACTGAGGAGGAAATTCAAGCTTAGAGAGATTTCCCCCAAAGTCACAGAATTACTCAGTGGTAGAGCCAGGTAGAGAACACAGGCTTGACTGAGGCCAACGTCTCTGGACCACAACTGGGCGCCTTCAGTTCTCTCACCTTTTTCCTTCCATTTTCCTCTATCCAAAGCCCATGTGTGGCTGATCTGAGCACGTGCCTTCTCCACTCCTTAGCTGCCGCGGTCCCTAGTGCTGCAGAGCTGTCCTTGTGCTGGCTCCCCCGTCCTCCCACCAGCCCCTTTAGAGTTCGTCCAAGACCTTCGTCACTCTCCTAAATCCACAACCTCACCAAATCCTGCCTCCAGATGACTCTCCTACTGTGTTTCCTGCACAGGTGCCGTCAGCTGAAACTGCTCCCCTACCCTCCTGGAGTCCTTGACTCATCCCTCTAACTGCATACGTCTGAAGTGAAGCTGTTCGGAGACAAGTCTAGTGCTAATCACAGGCCTCCTGGAAAAACCTCAAAATCTTTCAAAGTTTCCAGAAAAGGCACAGATTAGAGAAGTTGGTGCATCCTACTCAGCAGG